AAAAACAGGACGGGAAGGCACGCGTGAAATTATTTTACAAATAATAAGTCGTCTCTGTTAATTAGGCCCGCAACTGTTTGTTTATTTTTGATATAGAGAAGGTTGTTTGTCGTTCATGTTTTGGGTTTGATGAAACTCAAATGAATGGGCATAATAGCGAGTGTCTCTACGGTAACAAAAAGGTAAAAACAAGGGCACAATGTGTAATGGCATGCGGTAAACGAAGAAAGAAACAACGTAATTGACTCCCTCGGACATCATTAGGATGTTGCCATTCTCGTGTGGGACGGTTGTTAGTTTTCGCGAAGATGTTTTCTTGTGGTCAATCGCTCGGAATTACCTCGCTTTGTTTGTCAACCCTGGTATTTACAAATCACGCGCAGCTCGGAGGACCTATCACTTTTTGAGGTTAGCTATACCTCTTTGCCACGGACTGGCACGGAGTCGAATGACCATTGCGACACAAGCAAAAATTAAAAAGCTGATATATATTTGAAGGAATTTATAAAGACACTCACAGACTTTCTAAGTTGATACATAGTTTGGATGTCTAAAACGTAACCCTGGTTGCCAGCCGGATGCGTCAACGTAATAATGTCAATTAAATAAACAACTCCTGATCTTTGATCTTTAATGAACCTTTGAAAATCAACGTCAACTAAAATAGAGTTCAACAATGAAATACATGCAAGTCATGACTTCAAAGCGTAACGTACCTGCAGGCGAAACAGTACATCAACGAAGGGGAATTCCTTATAGGGTAAAATTACATTTATTTAAAAATGCATTCCCGTGCTATTTTCAACTTTCATCCCGAAAAATAGATTCCTTTTCTAAATTGCTATAGCAATGCAAAAGGTATTCACTTTTGAATGAGACATCGACCGTAAAGATCGGTACGTACTCTCATGACTTTAATCATCTGCGTTTTGAATTCGAAATCGACTTGGCGTGAAGACAGTAGGTACCAATCATTCATGTGTCATTATTCCATCTAGTATGGTGTAATGTTCAAAATGTTCGTCGGTTGCGAGTGCTGCGAACTGAATCAACAAGAAAACATGTTTGAGAAGTGATACGAACATTAACGTTGCTGGTTGTTAAAAGATATGCCATATTCATAAACACTGAAATTACTATGGTGATTGCGTAATGATAATTGGAGTCTTCATTGATTAATAGTCAAACACCTGTTAAACTCACAATTTACATTGTAAAATTGTTTGAATATATGACCCTGTCAATTTGTTTCATAAATGTATATAGTTGGCCTTTTACATAGATTAACTTGTTCTTCATGATTGTGTTACTGTGCGCAATTTGAAGAGCCCACTGAATAACCGAGGACCGCGTGGTCCAACAGCCAACCTTATCCCAGAAAGTAATCTTTTAAGTTGCTCCCCCGCTCTATTTATTTAACAAATTCAATTTGATTTCTCCCAACGATTTTTTTCATGTTTTTGTTTGAGGAAAAACAACTGTGTCCACACAATTTTGGCGTGTGCAACCCCTTCGACAAAGACATTTATTTCGGGTAGCGATTGCGGCCTTAACGCACAAAAAGATTCGCCTGAATTATTGTCAGACCAAAAGTAATTTGAACTTTATAAAATGATTGGTCCACATCTAAACGGAGGATTTTTCGATGTCTCATTCAAAAATGAATCAGAAGTGTATATAAAAATGGGGGAAATCGGGGTAAGTGATTGGAAAATAGACGGGTAGAGCATCTTTAACAAATCCCAATAATTTGAGGTCTGAATTCCATGTTTACTTGAACTGTGTTTACCTCAATTTAAGGCACGCAATGAACTGTTGTCAACAACTGGCGAGTTTCGTAGTTCGTACGCCGCTGCCCAAAATAGCCCAGCGTAAGTACTGCCCTCTCCTTATCTGATCGGCACCACACGCCGCACACGTGGCACTCTCCTATAATAGCAAGCCACCTATATGATTTTTTTTAGGCGATATGAATGACTGTACCCTGATCTTTGAGTCAACACGTTGACTGATTCAGAAAAGAATAATCTTGTCAACAAATTTTCATCGGCCAACAGCATACGACAGGCATTTGGTTGTGTATATATAGAGGAGACAGGCACAGCCAGCTGCACCTATGCCATGTTCGTATACTTGTAAGTTGGTTCTATAAACCTTCAAGTTTTAGCCGACATATTTTTAACTTAATGAAGATTAAAGGCATTATCAATATTTTAAACCAAATAAGAAATCCATAAGAAGAGTTTTAGTATCTTCCGATTTTGGATTTGACCAAAACTCCAATACTAGTGTTAAAATAACATGTACTGATGGTCTGATTGGGTGAACCATCGCGCAGCTCTTGATTATGAGCTGGCCAATTCAACATATTTTTTATCGTCAATTTAAAGAGTAACAAACAAAGATAACTTACCTTTTGAAATTTTCTGAAAAATAGATTAAATAAAGCTTCAAATTCATTTATGGACACAAAGAGGTGCATTTGGATTAAAAATGTAAGATCATCACAGAGATCGTATTGGACATTTTATTAGTGAGATGCTTTTTTGCCTCCATTGTGCTCTGCTAAGTCCGGCGGCTGTTTCCTTACAACAAACCGGTAAGTGTGTATTTTGTTGACCCATTATGATGGGGCCTAGACTCTATAGCGTGCCTGGTAATAAGCCTTGTCATAGGAAAGTCGGCTGAATTCCGCCCGGCTCATTTAGGGACAGACGGCTTCGGGTGACTACGATCGGAAGTAATGGACTAGATTGGTCGGTCTTTTATAAAGAGATACAATACATTCACATATAAAAGTAGTCTTCTCACTTTGTTATTGCGATATTTTGAAGGGAGGAACAGAAAGAAAACATCCCTTCTTTGTGATTTGAGTATAATATGTAATTGATTGAGAACTTTACAAAGGTTTAAGAAATACCGTTTAAGTTGTTACAAATTAAAAGCTAAAACAATAGGTTTTGAACTTCTTGGCGCAGTCAAATACTACATACAGCAGCTTGGCAATCAGCCAAGTAAGTTCCTTCTAGCCAATATCTTTTTAATAAAAAAAAGAAAATGATATGTAATTATTTTATTGAATAATAGGAAGTAAGCCTGAGTGGTGATTAAGTACTTTGATCTACAGGCAGGTGCGAGGGGGCCTTTTGCACCCGAAAAGTGTTTACCTGCATGGACAGAATCATACGATTGCCGTGCTTGGAATAATAACGTCTGGCTGCACATTGTATTTACCACCAAGTAAAAAAGGCGGGAGATTTCGTTATCAATGAATCTAACGGAATGCTCGTATATCTCGAGTATACCAGGTGTGCAAATATTACCAAGGATGACAGAATCGCATTAAAACACCGCTCGCGTCACATCGTAGATTTAAGATAAAATTAAAACTGTCTAGGTTGAATATATGCATATGTTGCTTGTGACTGTTGATGAGTTCTGCAAATGTAACGTATGACTAAGTGAATTAAAAAGTTACTGTTGCATTATCCCATGACATTTATTTATCATACAAGCTTTTTTTTAATGTGTAGATGATCGAGTTCATTGCACTTTTAATCGTTTTTCGTAAATATGTTATTCGTCACTACAAAACGTGACCCGTTATGTGTCCCGATAATTTAACTAAGACAATATCTAAAATGTTTGCCGTTTCAAGTTGAAATTTGTCATTCATGATGTTAACAAATTGTAGTAAAATTCCGAGTCAGATCACACGTAAACATGTCGTTCAGTTTCTGATTCGTCGGGTGAGGTTCACTTTTACACCTGTGTGTTTATCCCGTGTGTGCGTGTACAATAGCTAGGATCACTTGTTTGGCATTTCCTGTACGTTTATAGTACACATATAAAAAGAGCAGGTGTCCTGATCAAACTTTGCTCTGTTATTGTGGCTGAGTTTGTTGACTTGTTGACGACTGGTTTGTTCCATTGGACCTCGTTGTTATTTTTCTACTATTATTATTTCACTATTATTGTGTTTGATGCAGACCTTCCTCGAGTGTTGATGACGGATCTGAGCTATAGGCCCGATCACGCTTCTACCTCGATTAGTTTCATGGACGACACCTGATTGTGATTTACCATTTGTTGGATTTATGTGCCAAAATAGACCGCAGATGCTTGTACTTAACATTGATCTTTGATGTCACGTGTCGATGTGGTTGTATTATTATGCCAGGCATATTGTTATGTACTACTTGACTAAAGCTGATAGTTTATCATACTCACTCTTTTCCGTAAAGTCATGTCATTTGATGTACATTTTGTATCCCTTTGTATGTAGGACGTCGTCTCTGTTTTTAAATTAAGTATTTCCAAATTGGTGTTTCCGCATTTCTAGTTTGTATAGACTGTTACACAAACTGATTTGACATGGAATGCAAACCAAATATTAAACATGCATTAATCCCCATGTTTTTCTCTCAAGGACACCTGTCACTCAAGAATCAAAAGCAAATTGGCAAGATGCCATTTAATTCCCCAATACAAATTCGCATTATATTAGTAAAGTTGGCCGTTTATTTCCCAATACTTTTAGGTACCTGTTCCTAAGCCATGTTACTAGTAGTACAACTAGTTGTCGAGTCACCATAGCAATCATATCCGAAAAGGTTCTATTGTTATTTCTTCCTCTGTAGCCTAAAAATCCCACGTTGTGCAAAATGCTGAAGGTGAGTTGGTTGGTTTCGCTTGATGGGTCCAATCAGTGATTGTACCGGATGACTGCACTGCTCTGGATTTTTTTTATCCGGCAAGTCCATTTTGCTGTATGTGACCGTACCCACGTGGAGGATCACCTGTGCGTTGTGCATGACTGTTGCTACGCTCACAACAATGCCGCTTACCTGAGGCATAATGCGCATGCTCGCAACTGAGCACTGTCAATCAATCAGCGCGGACCAAAGATCTCTATTAGCCGATTTACGTGTTGTCATTTTTCTTCCATTTATCCAACTCCTGTGAGTGGGCGGGACAGCAGTGACCCGCTATTTACCTCCCGTCAAGCCAAGTCACACACACAGAACCCATAGTTAGTACGTCAACTATAGAGGGAAGGTCCCATATATAAACTAGTCATTACAGAGTTGTAGAAATAGTACATGGAAGTAAAACAGTAAATTCTGATGGGATAAGCGCATTGAACCGCCACTACACTTGAATTGACAGCGTGCTGGAAACTAATCACAACGGAATATTGTATTCAGCACAGTAAATGTACCGTGCACATCGTCGTTTGGATCAAGAGTCTGACCTGGTGTTCAACTTGCAATATTTATTAATTGCTGCATCACATTCGCCATCGAGAACATTTTTTATAATATTTGGATTTGGATTGCAGACTTAAACTACTGCGTAAGTATGCCCATAAATGACAAACTTCATGGTAAAGTGACTTGCTCTTTGTTCATTGACTTGAGTAACAATAATGGCTGATTACTTATTCGTGTTGTTAATGCAAAGGGCACACGTGTGTTGGGTAGAATGACTCGACTAGCTAAGTCCTTTTATCTCTGCATGTAATTGAATTAATCGATTCAGAGTTTTCAATAATGTGGCATTTTAGCAGGGCGCAGAAATGATAACTGGTGCATTTTGGTTGTTTTGCAATTACACTCATTATTAGATCAGTGCCTTGCACATTGCGGAGGGCTGTAACAATTTATCAACATAATTAATACACAATCGATAATTGATCACTATTATCACTCAAAATCTTGAATAATCCACGCAAGTACACATGACCGATCACCAAGCCTTCATGTTGATAAAAATGTTAAATGTAATAATTTTTTTTTTTTTTAAAGTTTTGTAAACCACATAAAATACTTTTTGCTGGCGGAGATGAGGTTCAACAACACCCCGTGAAATTTGAACAACATATTTATGTGCTAGTGTGCATTTTGTGTGATGTTTTCTATAGAACCATTCCTCATCACACACAGCACTTGGGTAATCAATGTATTGCATCTTGTTCAAATATTAATTACCGGTACTCGATATTTTGGGGGAAAAAGGTGTTGAGAGTCGTCCTAAATATAGACGGACAAGGTCACGCAGACACTACACATGCATTTTTTTATGTTTTCATTCGCTTTTAAACGTACATGTAATACATATATTTAAATTACTTTGCAACAAAGCTGCCCCTCCCCCAAAATATTGCTACAATCCTCAACATTAATTAAGAAACACTTATCGCAGTACTGATCAAATGAGACCGTTGACACGTGCTGTGCACTGCTGCATTTATCTCCATTCCACAACGTCTGTCCGTACTATTCAAGCGTCGAAACCTGTTACACGTGGACTTTCAAGAGAATTGACGTATATCGTCAAGGTTAATTTTACACACAAGACTATACACTGTGTTATTTAACGCTGGTTCCTTGCTTTCCATTACAGAGGCCTGTCACGATGTACGCTTTAGCGATTACATACCTCGTTTGCTTTATTCCCATCTGTGTCGGCTCGATCCCCACTGATGATGATTATTCTTCAAGTTCGTTTGATTACGAAAGTAGTGCAGAGTGAGTGGCAAATTTCGATCATTTTCACTTTACGAATGAGCCAACAACACAATCACGTAAAACATTAGCTCCAAAGGTTTAATGTAAAATTCAAAAAGTCTGGATACTGTCACTGTGTCTTTCCAGAACTTCCGGAAAGCTTTCGCACCCTCAAAGAAGCCACTTTAATTGAGTGTAAATTGTGGACACTTTTCCCTAAGAATTGAGAGCATGGACTTAATTTCACAAAGTATTTTCCTATTTCAGATGAAAAAAACTTATCGGTGTTACCAGTTTCGTTTTTTTTGGTATCATTTAGTTCTATCGATTAACTTCTTTTCAGCTATGTGCCACTACTTCCCATGGAGGTTTTTGCATTAAATGACAAGAACGGAAATGGATTTATAACACCGAAGGAGTATAGGAAGGCCAACCCAGGCACGACAGACATCGAATCCAAACTCATCTTCGACAGTTTCGATCGGGATAAAGATGGGAGAATTTCACTGACTGAGTTTACAGCACGAGTTCAGCACAGTGAACCCGACCTTCAAGGTAAGACTTTATATTAGAATAAATGAAAAGAAGCAGAAAAAGGGTTTGCATCAGTCATCTCCTTGATGCATTGATGTTCTTGCATGTTAGAAAGTTACGGAGTTTTTTTTCGCATTAACGTTTTTTTGGGGGGTTCGAAATTGTCTGATTTAAGCGACTTTCATGTGACCACTGAATTGGTTTTCGTATATAAGAGTTGACCTAGTACCGTATGTTACCAGTAAAACGTTGATGACATTTTTCTGTTGAACACGTTTCTCTGTTGCTAATAAATGCTAGAATAATACGCGAATTCACCTCAAACGTATACCGGATGTCCTAATGAGGGGCTCGGAAATGCTGGCTTGTTCAAAGTGTGAAAAATCAGAGTTGGATGGATAAGAATATACCAAAGCGTTTGTCTCACCTTGAAGGGATTTATTTTGCCCGGCATGACAATGCCTTGTGTGGGCTAAGCGACATGTGAGGTCGGATCTTGTTCTATTCAGATAGCTTAACCACCAGCTCATTCACATACTTCATCTGTCACCAATTCTGCATCCTTTGGAAAATAGTGTCATTGATACTCCCCCTTCATTTAGGGAATAAGAGGATTGTCAGAATTATGCATTCGTTTTACCTATCCACGTCAACTGAGATAACGGCGCCATATATCAATGCCCACTCCTCTCTTAATTTGCCCACCCAGATCTGCCCTCCCCTTCAAGCTTTTATTTAGAACCAAATTAGTTATAACCCGTGTCTGCTCAGCACAATATGAGTAGCATTTACGTTGAAAATCCTTGATATTAGGGAGTGTATGAAGACTCATCTATTGGAGTTTCTACATGCACCATCCACCTGTACATGTACAAATGGCAATCAATTGTTAATGGGCGACCTTCTCGTGACCAGCCAGACAGTAAATGCGGATTGTTCTTGGTCGTTGAGGTGAATTGACGATTTCCGATGCGGTCAAGGCGGATATTGATTAGTAAGCGTTCACATGTGGCTAGTTTCTCGTCATTCATTCTAATGGCAAGCCCCCCCCCCCCACCAACTCAGCCAAACTGTGGGAATTACGAGATGGGCTGGCGAAATGTAGTGATGCGTTACGCCCGTTGGGGACTTTTGTCGGAAACAAGGTGGGCGTGTCATGTTCCGCTTCTGGCCAGGAGAACTGAGCCAATACCTACTGCCACATCCGGGTTTTTCATTTTTGTGTGAATTGAGTCCCAAAAGTGAGGAAGCTAAAATGGAAACCTTCAAAGCGGATACATATTACCCAATTTGAATAGAAAAGTGTTCTCATCGCATAACCCTCTGTTATTTAATTCAATCATCTTAATAACATCTCAGTGCCAGCTAGAGGGCAAGAAACATAGTTTTAAAAAGTTATCTTATAAATCCATCATATAATGCATGCCGTGTGCTTGTCATCTATATAGCTGTCATTTATTTAATAACTTAGATGTTATTCGATGCCGAATTGAATTAAATAACAAAGGGCTATGCGATGAGGACTCTTTTCAGTTCAAGTATTAGGTAATATGTAACCACTGTCCTCTCCTCCCACTCCGCTCATCACCCCGCTAATTGATTCTTAATTACAGATTTGATATCTGTGAACATAAGCATTCGTAATATGCTCCGTATTAAAACACAAACAAAATCAAACGCACACCCAAATAAAACAAAAAAGCACAACATTTTAAAATATCCAACCGTTTACTAGAACAGACTAAAGCTGACATTTCACTATTCAGATTGACATTTTTTTGCATGTCTGATCTGATTTATTGACCGATCTGATTTGTTTCACATTCCAGAAGATTGTTTGACTACAATTATGCGAACCTGCAGCAAGGAGTTCATACATGCTGTACAGAAATGGGGCGACAAACAAGGAGATGCTATGTGTCATTGTTTACCAGTGAGTACTGTCAAAATTTCATCCTAAATTTCACAATTCGTTTTGATATAAAAAGGCTGGTTTCTATGAACATTTTTGATTTAATGCAATTCAATATTTTCTTTAAGCAAAACAAGGCCCAACTGAATTTGCCTCTGATACGTAAGAGCTCTTGCAGTTACCTGAATGCGTATCACACTCAAACATGTGTCTGCATCCTTGCAAGAAATCATTACTAAGCTAATGCATGAATGATTAATAGCCAGTCTCAATTCATGGTAAAATCGAATATACACACAGTCAACATTCGTTACGGAAGCCAGTAACATGTAAAATCCAATAATTTTGGAGAAGTACTTTGTATGAAGAAATTAATTATTCCAGAAACTGCATATTTTATAAAGCCGATATATCAGTCCCAAAAATGAAGAAATAATATTAATAGACCTTTCTCAGGGTACGCCAACAAACATGGCGGCGTAAACAGTGTATGCGGGTGAACGAGTGACTCACGCAAAGTTACAGTAGATTGACAATCTTAGAAATGGATTGATTGCTCAAATTCCTGGAACAATCAATCAACATTCTAGGTAGGTCACATCTCAGTGTGTTTTGAAGGAAGATTGTATAAATATAAAACCCAGAACCAGCGGCCGAACTGAAGAGTCCGTGTTAGTTTTGTACGCGTAGCACCGCCGTCAGAGAAACGTCAAGAAGTTCTATTTTCTCTTTTCCATCCGTGACGTTTTCTGAGCTGAAATTGCACATCTCAAGTAAATGATTAAATTATAGGAGGCTATCCGCAAATTGCAACAGGTCCTGACATTTTTTTCTCCAGAAATAAGAGGAAAATTGGAGCCCAATGATGCCGATGTGGGAAGGTGAAAACATTCGTTCATGTGCGACATGGCACGAGCCCAATTCGAGACGCCTGTCTGTTTGTTGAGCAGACCGGTGCCGATGATTGTCTCGGATTAGGCTCGCACCATGTGCACGGAAACGAGTCGGGATAGAGTGCGCGACCGAAAGTTGTTCATGAAACTTTGCAAGAACTTTCTTTCACTGTTTCGTACGGGCTCCAATTCCTCTTTATTTCTGGAAATGACAGGTCCTGTGCGAATAACAATACACGGATAGTCTTATAATGTAGATACTTTCTACTAAACAGGTGCAATTTCAGCTCAGAAAACGCCGCGGATGGAAAAGTGAAAATAGAAAACCTTGAAGTTTCTCCCGTGGCGGTGCTACTACGTGTAAACTAACACGGAAACTTCAGTTCGGTCACTGGTGTTGGGTTTTATATTTATAAAATCTTTCTTCAAAATACAATGAGATGTGACCTACCTAGAATGTCGATTGATTTTTTTCGGGCAATTTGAGCTATTAATCCATTTATAAGAGTGTCGATCTGCTGTAACTTTGCGAGAGTCACTCGTTAATCACACACTGTTTACGCCGCCATGTTTGCTGGCTTTATATGCCTCGCTTTGATTTTCAAGATGGCGTACCCTGAGAAAGGTCTATAAAACACGACTCGACGAATGTACAAGTGCTCCGAAAAAGTCGCCTTTGCAACTTTCACATCATTTAGCAACAACCTTTTGATTTGCTTGTCCTTAGGTGTACAGAGACTGTATCCGAAATGAAAGGGAAGCATGCACTACGGTGTCACCGAAAGACCGAGAGGAAGAGGAAATATTAAACGACCAAGTGGATTTGCTCTTGCGGCGCTTCAAGAAGGCACTTTGCCAAGACATGTCAACCAAAGTGAGACCATCAGCGACAGCTTTGAGTACCATCATGCCAGCATCATCCACATCCATGACAATGCCGAGAGGCATGAGACAAGTCAGATCATCAAGAACCCGGGGTAAAACATCAATCAGTACTTGCTATTCAGATTAAACGGGGACAATTTTCTGAACTTACGAAAGGTTGCATAATATGCTTCGCTTAAACGCGAGATGAATACTAGTACCGGTATGTAAAAAAACCCACCATTGACATAGGCCTATGCCCTGTTAGATAAGACAAGTTCTTGTCTAAAAGTAAGTCATAACATTTAGTGCAAACATTTTATTATACAAAGCTGAAAGAATTTATGGAATCCTTGCCGGGGAAACTAAGTGCGATCTACACGAAGCAGTGCTTTGTTATTTTTTTCTAACTCAATTTGTACAAAATCTGTTTTCACCCACCTACAGTGTCCAGGCGTTACAGACCAAGATCAAGGAGACAGAGCTGTATCGTGTCAACAATGAAGCCATGTAATGATGTATTCATTGCCTCACTACAAGCAGAGGAAGAAGACCCTTGTCATAGTCTTGTCAAGTACAGGCAATGCGTACATAGGAGCACGAAGCGTTGTAACGACCCAAATTTACCACACATTCAAAGAGCCATCAAGTTCTTGGCTAAGCAGCACAGACGAGTCAAAATATGCACCAAGTACAGCATATAGAGGGCGCTATGTCCAATATATGGCCATACGAACGTGCTTGATTAACTTCAAGTATTCAGAACGATGATAACGATGATACATACTGGAGGACGCTATCAATTTGTACGTGTTGACGGTCAGAGCATGGCATGTAATGTATCTTGGTTTTTAATTCACAAGCTCGGGGTGACTCACAATTGTCTTCATTTCCATTGTAAGATCCTGGCCTTTCACCTCACATAAGCCAAGATTAGCGGTTTTGGTATTGACTGCTAAGTCAACAGGCATGAACTAAACAATATTGATGGCATTATAAATATTGCTCTGTTTAAAGAGACAGGCGACCTGCGAGGCCTCCCAAGTTGACACTTTATATATCCAGGGACCATTCTGGGGGTATTAGGGTTACAGAGCTATCTTCACACAGGATTCTGTACAGTCATGCCCGGCTGCAGTGATGTTTTTGAATATTATTGTGTAGCCACGAGATAAAATGACTCATTTATTGTATATTATTTATATTAGAAGAAGCTGTGAACCATTCGCTAAAGCCAGCATATTACCCTGGAATTACCAGTGCGTGAAAAAAGGTTGTGGGGAACCACGTGTATTATGTACAGCATTTTATTAAATAGAATCCCTTTTTTACTTTTATAATATGTACAAAGTGTTTTTTATACTGACAATGTTATATAATAGTTTTAACAGTGATTTTGTTTTTGTATGTTGTTCATATTGTACAAAGTCGTCAGCTGGTGTTTTGGTGACTATTTCATTGTGCCCTTGCCGTAATGTCAGCGCATTGTGCATATAAATGTACAGTGTATAGTTTGTATAAAGATATAACTGATCTATCACTGTCGTAATGAACCGAGAGGAAAGCACGAATACAAAATACTGAGATCCATTCTTTGTGTTTGAAAAAAAAAGTATTCAGTCAAATTTTGTCTAATCAAAAGATTACAGAGTCAGTGCATTTTCACTTGTAAAAAGCAGATGAGCTAATGTTATTTATCAAACATGATTTGATTAATATAAGGATTTTCTCTAGAATTAATGTAATAAGCTACGCGATGACAGAACACTCTTTTGGATATTGCTTTAAAAGTAAAAAAAAAAGTTAAGTTAATTAACCTGTTACTGACAGTTAAATGACTCCTAAATAAGATCAATATACACTTTGTCTTAAAAAAAAAATAACTTGATATCGTGGCAGTAGTGTTGGTATAGGGGTCTAATGACAATGTTTAAAGAGAACATAAATCCATGGAATACCCACTACCTCATTTTGTAGATTTTACAAAACACGAGGATTGTTACTTGACAAGCTTTGCAACTACCGTGTTCAGCTGAGAGAATTTACTCCTAAATATTACTTTACTTTTAGAGATTTGCCTATATTTGTGAACCAACCACCTGTAAAAGGTTCTTGAATATAACGACCACGCTAAATGTGCAGTTTGTTATGCATTGATAAATATTTGCCATAAATCATAACTTCTGACAGTTTTTCGTTTCTAATTTTCCTAATTCACACGGTTGACACTATCAAAATAATGTGACTTTGTATAAGAAATATTCTAGGTAGGCCTATAGCTTTTCTTCCGAATAACGAAAAAAATAATGTAAACAAAGTAACAATGTGTAAACACAGGTCTTGATACATACAAAACAGTTAATCAATTTAACAAAATAATTAAATGTGCATCTTGTAAAACAGTTTTACATTTTTACATTGAGTTTAAGTTTAAGTACCGGTGTGAATAACTTTCACAATATGAAATCGAGATCTTAAAGTTTAAGATCTCGATTTCATGTTGAAAATGTTTCACACTTTAGTGTTTATTTCGATAGTTTTCATAACTACCTTATGCATTCTGAATTAATTAAGATTGTAAAACACTGCCACTGATTATTAGAAAACGTGTAATGAGTTTATAAGAGCATTTGTATTCATGCCATCAGGGTTTATGGCAGAAAATAACGTTAGTGATTCGTAAAATTGGACAACCGTTCAATTCGAATGTCAACATTTTGTACACATTGAATGGGATTACCCTTTATAAGCCATCAAGCCAATTATATCCAAAATTTGACACCTTTTGTATCCAGTTTAACCTTTATATTACGGTTTGTACTGCCCACTTGTATTTATTTTTGCTGACCATATTGTAAATTTCTGTGGCATATCACAGTCCAATTTATGCAAAGTATTTAAAAAAAAAAGAGGCAGACTAATTTGACATATCAACCTAACATATTTTTGCCGTTCATTGTATTATTTATTATTTGTTCGACAAGTGAACGTATTGAAATTGACAACCAATTAATAAGTTTATCTGAGCTTAGAGGTGCCTTGTTTAATGTTGCTTGTTTAATGTTGCTTAATAAGATGTCCATCATGATGTCAACAAGAGACATTGTAGTGTCCCCAAATTCTTCAACTACAATTTTCACTAAGCTTTTTCATAATAAGGTTTATGACTCATAAGCAGAGGGGGTCTGGGGTTCGAATCCTGCTGCTGGTCATATTTTGTCTAGTGAGCCATAATTATTGGTTCTTTATACACTTCACTTTTAAAGTTAATTGCTACATTGAGATTAGGCCTACATCAGGTATTCAGTAAATTAAAATAATGTTGAATTTTACATTGTTCGGCTATAATGTGAACGCAGATATCTCGTTTTATTCATTAACCTGAAATGGCTAAATCATGTATTATGTAAGCAAAGTGCTTGATTTGCATAACCAGGTACAACATGCAATAAAATGTCACTGTAATTTTCCACAAAGATTTTATACTAGAAAAACCCTAATTTAGATTTTTCTTTCTGCAAGTGAAAAACATCCCCCCCCCCCCAAAAAAAAACCACCCCACGAACAATTAAACACACACAACAAAACCCCGCGCTTATGCTGTATTTCTAAACTATATTTATCATTCTTCAGACAAAATCTAATTCTTCAACGGTGATAACATCATAGAGACTCGGTTGCTAGCCTGACAATCCAGACCAAACCCATGACAAAACTTCTTCAAAGTTTAAGCACAAACAAAATAGGTTTTTGATCGCTTACCAACCCCGGGTCGGCTAGCTGGTTCAAATCTCAAATGACAGCGGGTACCAGTTTAACCGGTTTCAACTGGAGTCATGGGCGTCGCCAGGATTTTTTCCAGAGGGGGGCAAACATTTTTTTTGCCAAAAATGCTTGCATTTCTCAACATATTCTCGATTTATCAGTTTTAGAGGGGGGCAGGGACATTTTGCCCCCCCCCCCAACTCATTAAATTTACACCATTTTGTTCTCGCGCCTCTTTCTCTTTTCTTTTTTCTCTTTTTTTTCTTCTTCTTCTTCTTCTTTTTTTTTTTGGTTTTCCGGGGGGGGGGGCACGTGCCCCCCTTGCCCCCTCCTCGCTACGCCCATGACTGGAATATTCATCTGGGCATAATTATACGCCAGCCAATTCATGCGTCTAAAAACTCACGAATGTCTGAAATAGGCCCTTTCTCCCCGACCCTGTTTTCATTGCAGCAAAACAAAATTGTGCATGCGTTTAATCATCATACTAAATTGAAATCCAAGAAAGGGGTAAAAAATGTAAAAAAAAAAAAAAAAAAAAAAAAAAATAGAGCAAAAGGTATTGACCACGATTTTAATTGTGGAGAATGTTTCATCTGTAAAAACACCGATGATGCATAACTTCGCTGTGGAAATGTACCAATGCTCATTAATTATTGTTTTATCGTTCAGACGTTGAGGGCGCTATTCGTCACAAGCGTTATGGGGTTCCTTACGCTCCGATCCCTCGTCTTGGATACTTATTCTCTGATAAAAATGTGGTGAGTTTTGTCCATATACACCCTCAATGCAAGCTTACTTCTGTTGGTTACCAACTCTTATTTAAACACACGTGATTCTGTCCATCGCAGTGTTGTAATCGGGTACATTTCCATGAGTACGAGTTCTTCGCCATGAGTTTAGGAACAAACCGTCACGCTTTCAACGAAAACTTGTGCTTTGCGTTGAGGCAGAATGGTACGGAAGCGTATATGCATGACCATCCGCGTTACTGCGTTACTGGGATAAAATATCTTGGAAACATGGAATTCCCTGAAAGGCTACCGTGGAAACGTGGAGTACTGTGATAGCCTTTCACAGAAATGTGGAATTCCGTGATAGGCTATCGTGGAAATGTGGAATACTGTGATAGCTTATCGCAGAAACATAGAATTCGATGATGGGCTATCGTGAAAGCATGTAATTCCGTGATGAGCCATCGTGGAAACGTGGAATATTGAGATAGGCTAACGATGGCATTTCGTTTCGCCACGATAAATCATCACGGAATTCTATGTTGCTGAGATTATGTTGCATTATTCCGCGTTTCCAAGATAGCGTATCACGAAATTCCACTTATTCATGATAGCCTATCACGGAATGCCACGTTTCCATGATAACCTACCACGGATTTCCACGTTTCCATGATAGGCTTTCATGGAATTCAGCGTTTTCATGATGGGCTATCACTGCATTCCGAGCTGTAAAGATATTTTATGATGGAACTCTATGTTTCCAAGATATTTCATCTCAGTAACGCAGTAACTCGGATGGGCATATACGCTTCCGTAGAATGGAGATGCATGTTCACAGTTCTATCAAAAACTATGACATCTACTGTGCTGAAAGTTCGACAGGTTAGTTTTTAAACAGGGTTCGAATTTAGTGGTAGCCCGCTAGCAACATGCTAGTCAAAACAGCGGCGGGCCAGTCAAACTATTCCTTAAGTAGCCCGGCTGGCGAGTCAAAATATGATTGGGCTACGGCAAAGATGAAAGAACAGGAAGAAATAAATCATAAATTAAAAAAGCAAACCTATATTAATTTGTGTCTAATTTGATTAACTGTTTAGGGTTAAATTATTAGATCCGTTTATTAAAAACACTGACAAGATTGCCTCAAGATACGTGTTTTATTATATAAATTGTTGTTTATGAGACACTCTATAAAAGAAAAACATGTGGACTAGTGAAAATGCCCGCGGGCTAGTTAAGAGTCTGTTTCAGTAGCCCGGCTGGCTAGTGAAAATAAAAATTAACGTCGAACCCTGTTATAAAGGATGGGACTTTTCGTTTAATTTTGTGAACGTTTAGCGAAACTTTTACCTGTCAGAAAGACTGACGCCTGTCCTTTTAGGGTTAATGACGAGTATTCTCGACCCGGCGACTAAAAAGGGTGACCAAACTTAGTGAATGGTAAATACCTAAATTTGTTTGGGAAAAGCGTGTGAATGGTTTTCTCGGACGAAATTGAATGTTAGAGGTGGTGAATTTGAACAAAATATGATTTAAAATAAGCCGAAAAAACTATAATTGGGAATATTTGTGTCATAAATCTCTCCGTTGTACTCACTTCGTATTCACGTGCCTGTCATCTTTGATTTAGCTAGTGTATGCATAACATCCAACTTGCGGTTTGATGACGTAACAGTATTCATTTTGGAAGCCGATTGTCAACACTATACCATTAGTGGTGCTGCAGACACGCATCAAATTATGGACTGAATATAGGTTTTCCCGGTTATTTTAACACTTGTATCACACGAATTCCCTATATCGATGCTTTAATTTCGTCCCCGAACATCGACAAGCTCAATTCTCAATTTGAATTTCAAAAGCCACCACTAGATTTCATTTAAGGTTCAGTATAATTCAAATTGTTAGCACTCCGATTCGTCCAAAATCTTTGAAATTCGTCTCGTGAAGCAATCGGCGTTGAATTGAAAAAGCAAATTCGTTTTTTGTCATTCGTTTTAATGTTCTTGTCGTCACATTTCGTCTCTGGTGACTTAAAACGTTACCATTAAAAATGTGCCCAATCTTTGGACTTGTTTGCGCATTAAATAAATTTTAATTTTTAACAAATATTTCCGTATAAATGAAAGTATAGCTGTAGGTTTTGAGTTTTCTTTGACAATTAACATTAAAATAAGAAATTGAACTCTCCCAATAATTATGCTCTTTGCTTAGCATATGAAAATTAAGCATTAAGATCAAACACCTTCGTAATGTTGCTCTTTGATATATGTATATGAATAAAACAACAGAAATAAGGTATATCTATCAAAGAACAACATTACATGTAAGAAGGTCTTTGAACTTACAGGTAATGCTTAGTGTCCATGTCATAAGTGCATATTGTGAAATGTCAATTCCTGACTCTAATGTTAATTGTGAAACACAGAAATAAAAATTCATACCTTACAGCTAACTACTTTTATTTATACATATAAGGAAATATATGTCGAATTATCATTGTTTTAATACGCATAATTCTTCAAATAAGTCTAAATATTGGGCGCATTTTCTAATCGTATACGATTTAAGTCACCGGGACGAAATGTAATGACAACAACATGAAAACGAATGACAAAAAACGAATTTGCTTTGTCAATTCAACGCCGATGGCTTCACGAGACGAATTTGAAAGATTTTGGACGAATCGGAATGCTAACAATTTGAATTATACTGAACCTTAAATGAAATCTAGTGGTAGCTTTCTGAAATTCAAATTGAGAAGTGAGCTTTGCGATGATCGGGGACGAAATTAAAGTATCGATATAGGGAATTTATTTATTTATTGATTTGTTCGATAGTTTGTTTGTTTACTTCTTTATTGGTTCTTTTTTGTTTTCCTTAATGTTCATGTATGTTGTTTTGGGTCATATTTGTTTGTAAGATTTGTCCTGGTCGAATAAATAATAATAATAATAATAATAATAATTCGAGTGATACAAGTGTTAAAATAGCCGGGAAAACCTATATTAAAACTAAAAGAACACATCATTTTGAAATTCTCACTACATTAATTTCAAGTTTAAAGACGTCATGATTCTGAAACCTTGCAAAATCATTTGCGGTTGTCCAAGGAATGTCTAAACACAATGTGCCGCTAGAGGGCGCAATTGAATGACGTCATCATGCTTTTTTTTGGTGCTTGGCATCCCTCATTAAAAACTTCCATAATTTGTTTGTCTGCAGTAAAATGCATCTGTTTTCAAGTTATATGATGACGTCATGATGACGCCACAAAATGTTTCATATCTTTGGACTGGCAAATTCATACCAGGTTTAATCATCATCCCGTGAATCGTTTGGAGGAAATTAAGCTCGTTTTGATTATAATACTTCTGTCTGTATTGATTATAATCCTTCTTTCTGTATTTTAAATTCACCTAACTTTGACCTTCCGGAAGTCCCGGAAGTAAAGGTCAAGCGATTTCACGTACACGATAAAAATGTTATCAATTAGCGATCTATCTGATTACAAAGTATGAACATGATATATAATTTTGTTCAATAGTAATAAGAAGTTGGTCACTTCTTAACTAAAATTGTTTGTAATTTGATACCTGATGACGTCATCATGACGTCAGAGTAATGCACACCTTTGGATCACGGATTATGTTGGTTCAAAGTTACCATTCAGTTTGAACCATAAACCATTGAGAAGAAAACCCGCGGAGAATATAGGCCTATGTCCGGGAAAAAAAGAAAGAAAAAAGGAGAGAAAGAAGGGGAGACGGAAACAAGGCGAGATGAATTCTTACCATTTCAAAACAGCTTTCGGTCTGTGCCCGATCACTCGATTAAAACAGGAGCTCAGACTTTTCAGACAACTGGATCAGTATGATTTTCTTTCATGTTATATGCCACGGTCCAATATCAATAGGTGAATCAGTCTCGAGGAATTGCGCAAATGTCGAATGGAAGAGGAGATAAGGTGATCCCTGCTACACCATGGAAGGAGATGGGCGGAGAATGGTCCGGTTTACGGAATGTAAACCTGTGGATGAGACGTGTGAAGAAGATGAAGAGTTCGGTTTTTGACATTTGCTCTCCGATACATATGCGATGGCCTGCAGGAAATATAAAAAAAAACCCCACATCACCTTAATTTCCCCTATCCCGACAATAAAGTTCCCTCAATACTGCTGTAGTCGAGTCCACATTTCGAGTCGAGCCCGGGTCAGAGCTCTCGTGTCAAAGCCATATCCTGGTTTAAGAAATGTTATCGAGAGTGGGACTGACAGTAATAGCGCACTCCACAAGATTTGCATGTTGTGCAAATGTTGATAACCTTCAATATTGGTCAATTCAGACATGGATCAAAATGGTCTTAAAAGTTGACCAGCCAAGTACTGAAAAGTCTACACAAGATATATATTTGGATTTGGGGCATCTTTTGGCACCAGCAGGCATCCATGCTAAATCACCCATTTATAGGATAACAAATGAAAGGTGGGTGGATGCCACCCTTAATATTGAATTTGAAGGTCATTTTCATGGTCACAAAGTTCAAGTGTGGACGGATCCAACGTTATGGTTCTTAAGGATATACAGTTTCACTTGTTAGATTTAACATGCAATGTAGGAGCACATACTTTGCTCGACATGATACAAATGTGTACATGTTGCCTAAAAGGTATTTTCTTCATCTGCAGCATATACATCGTACAAGTTCGTGTGTGAAAAATGCCACCAGCTTAAACCGTTTTAAGACGCTGCTGAAAACTCATCTTATTTTTGTAACTGCTTTTGATTTGTAATGGATTTTATTGTAAGTATTTTAAATGAATTTATTCACGTCTTGGAGAGCGAGACGTGTATTTAAACAAATTATAGCACTTATCCCCCTCTCCTTCGTCCCACTAAACCGTCATTTTATCATCAGCATCTTCTTGTCATTTATTTCCCCAATTACCAAACTACAACTGATCTTGACCGAACCTGTTGAGAAGGGTATCATATCATCTTCTCGCTTGGCCAGTTTCCCGGACTCGTCCAAGAACCTTGCTGGGTTAAACCTGTCTGGTTCTTTCCAGACCGTAGAATCAAGTCCGATTGCTCCTATATTGGCGAAGACAATACTTCCTTTTGGGATGTGGTAGCCACCGATCACAGTATCTTGGGAGGCCCGGTGGGGTGCTCCTAGAGGAACAACATTGCCAAGGCGCATAATCTCAAGAATGGTGGCCGCTGTGTATGGGAGCTTGGGCCTGTCAGACATCCTGGGGTAGCTGTTACGTCCTACAATTGCGTCAATCTCTTGTTGCACCTTAATGAGGTTAAAGATGTGGGAAAAAGAGAAAAAGGCAAGCTTGAAAACTTACGACAGTGGCGTAGCACAGTCATTTTTATTGGAGGGGGGTTAATTTTTTTTGAAAAGCGCACGGTGTTAAAAACCGACGATTATGCACACTAACGGACAATATATGGTGCTTTTAACGGCGATACATGCGCGAAATTAACAAAAAAGCACCCGCAACGGCCGATGGCACCGAAAAAAGGCCACCACTTACTTTTAAAAGGGCACTTGTTCAGAAAAAAGGGCACTTGTTAAAAAAGGGCACTCTTTACAAAATATTTTTTTTGGGGGGGGGGGGGGGAAAGCGCTGGTGACAAAAGGGCATTTGAATAGAAAAGGGCAGTCTTTACAAAATATTGGGGTAAATACCCCCTTACCCCCCCCCCCCCCCCACCACCCGCTGGCTACGCCTATGTACGACCGAATTATGTAACCATCAAATTCCTTTTTAACAGTTGAAATCTGTATTTTGTGAAATGTTTAAAGAAGTTCACTTGCAATTTCTGGGAAAAACGTTTTACCTGTCTTTATTTTGGTTTTCTTACACCAAAGAGACACCACAGTGAAAGGTTTCTGTTCAGTGGTGAATTTCACCCCTTACTCATTCAACAGCTCACCAGGAATATCAACAGCTTTCCTTTTCCTACTACCTGTAATCTCCATTGCATGCAATCAAGCTATACTTGTCGTACACAAGTAGTAAGATATTTCATTGTTCAGAAAGTCAAGAACAATTTTAAGCCAAAAAAACTCAAACTTTAAACAAAACTAAATGCTAATTTTAACATACTAAATAAGTAGAACATTTTTGTACCAATTTCGAGACTAATGACTAGACAGAGAATTCACAGCATGTTTGCAGTCAGTCCAGTTTTCAGATTTAATTTCCGGACAGATTATCTCAAACTTCACATAGGCCTACATTAAATTTTGCATAGAAAGGTTAATGTGTTAAAATTGTCCTAAATGGTGTTTGAAAATCGTGTCGCAGGTGTTATTTTTTGAAGTGCCCAACATGGGGAATTTCTTTACCCTTTTCTGCTGCCAAAGGGTAGAATATAACCCATTCAAAAGAAAAGTAAGTCCGAGTATAATGTCCATGCACTTACCTTGGTCTGTATGTTCGGATATGCCATCATATACAACATCCCCCATCGCACTGTGGTTGACGTAGCCTCGGTACCAGCTATGAAGAGATCGGACACTGTTGCGTACATGTCCTTTAGGTTTGCTTGAGACTTGTTCCCTACAGCAGATTTCATTTCTCGGAGATACACGTCAATGAAGTCCCGTGGATGATCTGGATCAAAGTCTCTCATGTGATCTTCAACAGCCTTGCTCGTGAAATCACGTATGAGTTGGAGGTTTCTTCCGGTTTCTCTTACCGGAGGCAGTAACCAAGCGAACAGGTGGGCACCAGGCATGACTTGTAGAGCACCCGTGACGCCCCCTATTAGCTGGATATTGCGGTATATTGCCCCTAGTAGCTGCTTAAATTGGGGATCGGAATAGTCGTAGCGAGTACCAAATATCATCTTGCAGATAACGTTGGATACGGCATTGGCCATGAGGACATAGGGACTAAATGGCCGGCCTTCATGCTTAGACATCTCAGCCACAAGATGGTCAGCTTCAACCGCAATCTGGTCATCAAAATCCGTTCTGTTCAGACCAAAGTCCTTCATGAAGGTAATTGCAGTCTTCCTCTGAACTTTCCATGCATCTCCTGATGCAAATGCCACCCCTGTAAAACGAGGCGAAACAATATTACAAAGCAGGGGCGGCGGAACCGGGGGGGGGGGGGATTTGCCCCCTCCCAAGTTTACCCAAGTGCCCCTCTTGCTGACATAAATGTGCACCCTCAAGATGAAAACAAAACTGGCCCTTAAATTTCGGATAATTTGTTTTCAGTAACCATTTCCCAAAATGGTATAGAGAGTTCTTATATGAACGAGGAATATAAAAACCAAGCCCCGAAACACTTACAATGCGCCCTGAAAATGGGCACATAATGCGTAGTTTGCATAATGGACGGTTTTGAAGAGCGCCCCCTATTTTGAAGATACCACCCCCTCCCCCACTATTTGATTTTACGGAGGCCAAGTGTCCGGTGAAAAAAACCGTGTCGACATTTTAGCACGGATGAAGCAAATGCCTCTTTTTGGAGATGCCCCCCCCCCCCCCAGTTTGAAAACTGTTCCGCCACCGCTGGTACAAAGTCATGCTTAGGCATGGGTTGCAGCAAACTTTGCGAACTTGGTTTGTTTCAAACCAATCTTCTTGGACCATTATGCTCGTTTGACCTGTCTTGTCCGATCGATATTGTTTGAACGATTTAGCCCATTTAAACCACGTATTTATACAAATACCCTGCGCGGCCAAAATTTGTCATTACATCCCTCTAAATTTGTCAAAGCCATAAGACGGGCTTGCACATAACCCCGTAAGCGTTTTCACGAAGGGACGAATTTGGACACGAGGTGTTGAACAGTGGTTCTGAGAAAATCGGGTTTTCAGTTGGTCACTTTTGATTGGCCTATTTTTAGAGCACATGTTGACTTTTTTTTTTATAAAGATAATAAGCTCAGATCTTAAACTTCAAAAATGTACACATTTCAGAATAACAGAACAATTTATAGTTGCGGAGTAATTAACCTTCATAGAAATTTGTCTGTTCGTAAAAACTCAAAATCCCACACGCGCGTTGTTTTTCCGGGCAATTTGCCTATACCAATTGCGCGCTAAATTCGTCTCTTCGTGAAAACTTAAAATCCCACACGCGCGTTGTTTTACCCATCGAACCGCGCGTTGTTTTTGCCCCATAGAACAACGTGTCTCTTCGTGAAAACTTAAAACACGATGTAAGAATGTTCCTTACACTGATTGTCATGATTTCATTGATTTAAACTGATTTTGACCAACAAACTTCGCCAAAAGTTCGTTGCTGCTTACTTAACCGATTTCGGCCGGAAAAAGAATTTCGAAAAACAATATGGATTTTGGCCGATTTCGTCCCTTCTGGCGTTATCATATTATCATACTACCTGCCATTAGCATACTACCCGCCATTATCATACTACCTGCCATTAGCATACTACCCGCCATTAGCATACTACCCGCCATTATCATACTACCTGCCATTAGCATACTACCCGCCATTAGCATACTACCCGCCATTAGCATACTACCCGCCATTAGCATACTACCCGCCATTAGCATACTACCCGCCATTAGCATACTACCTGCCATTAGCATACTGCCTGCCATTAACATACTACCCGCCATTAGCATACTACCCGCCATTAGCATACTACCCGCCATTAGCATACTACCCGCCATTAGCATACTACCCGCCATTAGCATACTACCCGCCATTAGCATACTACCCGCCATTAGCATACTACCCGCCATTAGCATACTACCCGCCATTAGCATACTACCTGCCATTAGCATACTACCCGCCATTAGCATACTGCCGGCCATTAGCATACTACCCGCCATTAGCATACTACCCGCCATTAGCATACTACCCGCCATTAGCATACTACCTGCCATTAGCATACTACCTGCCATTAGCATACTACCCGCCATTAGCATACTGCCTGCCATTAGCATACTACCCGCCATTAGCATACTACCCGCCATTAGCATACTACCTGCCATTAGCATACTACCCGCCATTAGCATACTACCCGCCATTAGCATACTACCCGCCATTAGCATACTACCCGCCATTAGCATACTACCTGCCATTAGCATACTACCCGCCATTAGCATACTACCCGCCATTAGCATACTACCTGCCATTAGCATACTACCTGCCATAAGCATACTACCTGCCATTAGCATACTACCCGCCATTAGCATACTACCCGCCATTAGCATGCTACCTGCCATTAGCATACTACCTGCCATTAGCATACTACCCGCCATTAGCATACTACCCGCCATTAGCATACTACCCGCCATTAGCATACTACCCGCCATTAGCATACTACCTGCCATAAGCATACTACCTGCCATTAGCATACTACCTGCCATAAGCATACTACCTGCCATTAGCATACTACCTGCCATTAGCATACTACCTGCCATTAGCATACTACCCGCCATTAGCATACTACCTGCCATTAGCATACTACCTGCCATTAGCATACTACCTGCCATTAGCATACTACCCGCCATTAGCATACTACCCGCCATTAGCATACTACCCGCCATTAGCATACTACCTGCCATTAGCATACTACCTGCCATTAGCATACTACCCGCCATTAGCATACTACCCGCCATTAGCATACTACCCGCCATTAGCATACTACCTGCCATTAGCATACTACCTGCCATTAGCATACTACCCGCCATTAGCATACTACCCGCCATTAGCATACTACCTGCCATTAGCATACTACCTGCCATAAGCATACTACCTGCCATTAGCATACTACCCGCCATTAGCATACTACCCGCCATTAGCATGCTACCTGCCATTAGCATACTACCTGCCATTAGCATACTACCCGCCATTAGCATACTACCCGCCATTAGCATACTACCCGCCATTAGCATACTACCCGCCATTAGCATACTACCTGCCATAAGCATACTACCTGCCATTAGCATACTACCTGCCATAAGCATACTACCTGCCATTAGCATACTACCTGCCATTAGCATACTACCTGCCATTAGCATACTACCCGCCATTAGCATACTACCTGCCATTAGCATACTACCTGCCATTAGCATACTACCTGCCATTAGCATACTACCCGCCATTAGCATACTACCCGCCATTAGCATACTACCTGCCATTAGCATACTACCTGCCATAAGCATACTATCTGCCATTAGCATATAGTATGAGGAGAGCAAGACGTGATTTCTTTTTCTCATGAAAATTGACGTCAATATTTACGGAGGCCCATTCGTGCCAGGTTTTAAGTGAAATAACGCAATAGTTTTGCGAAATAACGCAACAGTTTAGCGAAATAACGCAACAGTATTGCGAAATAACACAACAGTATTGCGAAATAACGCAATAGAACTGCGAAAAAACGCAATAGTATTGCGAAATGCAATAGTATTGCGAAATAACGCATTTCTTTTGGGCAAAATAACGCAACAGAATTACGAAATAAGGCAATATACTTATTGCGAAATAACGCAACACTTTTGCAAAGTAACGCAATACTAGTCGTGTACAAACTTCAACTCGGGTGTTCAGTTTGGCCTTTAAAATGTCCATTTTGATTAAATATTCTTGAAGTTCCTGACCGTCAATGCCAAATGGGTATAAAATCCCAATGTTCCTTAAGATTCGTGAAAGAACACACGTCATACAATCTCCAGTCATTGCTTTAGGTCTTTGGTCCTATCATTTTATTATGTGTCCTCCGCTAACCCCCTTTACAAATCCAGGATCCGCCATGCAGGGTGGGCTTTTATACACCATACAAACTTTCTGTGTCATAATATATGACATGAGAATTTGCCTATAAGTACGCCTAAAGTAGGCCGAAGTAGGCCTAAAGGTTCAACCATTCGGACTCCTGCATTCCTTCATTCAACCATTGAGTTTCATTTCGCAAAAAAAACTATTGCGTTATTTCGCAAAAGTATTGCGCTATTTCGCAAAAGTATTGCGTTATTTCGCAATACTATCGCGTTATTTCACAATACTATTGCGTTATTTCGCAATAAGAATATTTTGTTACTTTTAAAACCTGGCACGAACGGGCTTCCGTAAATATTCGTGATATGGGGCAAGTCGTGATTTTTTTGTCGTTTATATTGACTCAATATTCGCGATTTGTGACGTCCCTTCAAAGCCACCTTAGTTTCTAAAGTGCAGTTACGACAGATTCATGTTTTGAGTGACGATCAGAAATCCCTACCTTCACCGTGCAGCACATGACGCAGGATTCTTACGGACGGTCTATCACGGATGTGCTTGTTGTGAAAAGCCTCTCGTATCAGTTCAGCTCCGTGGATGATTACCAGTTTGACCATGAAAAGTTCCACAATGTATATTGATCCATATCGTCGATACAATCTGAAATAAGAAAAGCCCACTGTAGTCATAAATGACTGTCAAAATTTCAAATAAATTAAAACGATGCAGTTAGTGTGCTCCTTTATGCTCCTTTCAAAACTTCTACATTCAAAGCCACGACAGGCCTGCGAGCATCATCGCTCCAACAAACGTCTTGGTGCACGATGTTGTCTCTTCAATACATTGCTCAAGAACATCTAAACAAGAAACTCAGACTCTTATTTCTTGTTTAATGCAATAAAATAGATCCAATATTGCAAGAGTAAAACATTTGATGTGTTATTTCAAATTTTGTTCATGTGATAAGCTTTGTCTTATTTCACACAAAAGTCCCACTTGCGAATTCAGCGTAGCTATGCGTGTAAGGTCTCAATTATAGCCCCTGTCACACCTTTGCGTATCCTAATTCTTAATATGAGTTCCTTATCAACAATTTTCAATACGCAGCCGTACGCTCAATTAACGCCGAAATGTTTTGATCACTTTGACTTATGTGCGACGCACATCTAGCGTACAGGTAACGAATTCAGCGCATCCATTGCGTATGAGATGCGTATGAGTTGCGTATGCAGTGCACAACATTATTTTTCGGGCTGCGAATAGGTCAGTATGCAGTGCGCATGCCGAGCGTATTCCGGACGCACCCGACTTATGCCGACCGCATGCTTGACGCACTTCTGAGCGTATTCCCGCCGCATTTCCGCCGCTCGCCGTCCGCGGCGTGCGTTGCATCTGCGCTGCAAGTACGCTATGTATACGTCCAATACTGGCGGCTCATATGCTGACGGGGTGCGTCACGAACACATAGCGTACTCGTAACGCACTCGACCGATGCGGGACCGAGGCGCTGCGTATTTATAACTTATGACCTGCGTAACAGCGTACGCAGCGTAGTTTTGTGCATGCCCAAAACTATCCTGCGTACTGGGCCGTACCATGCGTATATCTGCGTACATAAAACCTACACAAAACGATAGAGATGCATATGAGGTGCGTATTGTGCGTACGACTGCGTATGAAAAAAATATCAATGCGCAACTCATAAGGAATTAGGATACGCAGAAGTGTGACAGGGCCCTATCCAACGTTCTGATTATGTCCGAAAGGTACATTACGGTACAATACGCATGACTTAAGTCGCGCAACACTGTGTGGTGTGTTAGCAAATCAAGTATAAAGATCATGAGCTTTTTGTGCATTTTGTTTTTACAAGAAGGAACAAATTTATGCCAAACTTGAAATTAGGTGCATATCAACTAACCTGCTGAACTTTTAGTGCAGTACAGAACATATAATAGTACATTTTGAGAAACCGGAGAAAACGTATGCACAATCTTGTTGGATCTCGAAACCGGATTCCGTTGCCAACGCACGTAAAAAGTGTTTCCGCAGGCACTTTATTTTAAAACTCCGTACAATGTTATATATCCTCAAAACAATACCATTTCGGGAGGAATAATTTCACAGTGATTTGATACCAGCCCTTTCTTCACATTGAGCAACGTTTCTGTGAAAGTATCGGTAGGTACTTTCCCGTTATTTGCTAATGATACTAGGTGGCTCGTGTATAAACAAGTAAACACTATTACACCTTAGCGGAGGGGCTTCCCTACTCCTTGCTTACAGTCCCTTGCTTGGTCACTTTTCGCTAGTCAAAGAATATAAATATATCCTCCAAAAGACCTGCACCTGACTACTTTGGTGCATCTGTGCTCAATTCAACTGAATTCTTTTAGAAAGACCAGCAGGCCGGGTAATGATCTCGGTGCATTGTAAAACCAAAGATGATGGGTTAACCAATCAAACTTGTATCTGATTCGTCATAAAGTAGAAACGAGGCTGTCAAAGTCGCAAAATACACCACGTGGATATTAAAATGAAAAACAGCTTAAAGGAATCGAGGATAATCTAATCAAGTTCAAGTTGGGCGTTTCTGTTTTCCTGTCAGTAAAATGTCAAGAAGATTGGCATTTAAGTTTAACGCAGTAGCTGTAACCTTTACTTTAATTTGACGGCTGTTTATCTATTTTCAAGTTTACCAAAATCAACAATCCAGTTTATCGAGGTTTCCAGTTCGAAAATTGGGCGAGTACAAGATAACTTGAAAACAATCGGAAGCTCGTTTTATTTGTGGAAGTTCACGTTTCTGGCGCTGTGGTCCAATCGACTCGTGTGCCGTGGTACACGGGTTCGAATCCTGACGGATTCTTGTGCTTGTGCTCTTGAGCAAGGCACTTTACCATTATTGCTTCGTCCTTCGGATGGGACGTAAAGCCGTAGGTCCCATGTGTAGTGTAATGCACGTTAAAGAACCAGTAACACTTATCGCTAAGAGAGGGGGTTTGCCCCAGTGTTTCTGGCAGTGGCTGCAAAGTACGCCGCAACACCTTGTAAACCCTTTATAAAGGTGCTACAAAATGGGTCTCATTTTTTCATCAACTTCATTTACCTATTCTAAAAAAAAAAAGAGCGCTTTGAAGCGCTATATAAATGTAATATATTATTTATTATTCTTCTTTTAAAGTTGTTTTTTAGTAAAACTATGTGGAAGAACGGGGTATTTACCCCTTTAACACATAGGATTGTGTACAGCTCATCTTTTTGTGTCTATACAATGAAAAAGTCCCTTTATCAAGTGCATATACACTGTATCTGGACAGAAGCCACTTAACACATGTAAACAATTGTATACATTCTCAACCATAGGAATATATTACCCGCCTTTACAAGCTTTGGAAAACCTTATACTTATTAAATGGGAAAGTTGGCTTTACATAATGGATTATGAATTTTGTTTGAGTACTTTATGGGGCATCTTATACTTTTTGTTAATTAATGAATACTTAATAAGTGCGGAGTCATAAGTCCGCTCAGGACGAGTGCGTAACTTGACAGGGTTCTCGCTCTCTCCGCTTTTCGCTGTCGATGGGCCTAGAAGACGTTGATGGTTGCTGGAATTTACAGGCGAAATTCTCTCTTTTTGAGGGATGATAGGCATCCTGACAGAATGCCAGAATAGGCAGCTGTGAGTGAGAGCACGCTGGCTTGGGGTTGTTCAATTCTACCGATGCCCAGTGATCGATGAAAGATGAACAGAGACAATTAAATGACGAGATAATCAAGTACAAGATCAGTACATGCAGTCCGGAGTTGTCATTCCATCCCAAGGGTACACGCCCTCAACCCCGAGGTAGACTCCACACCCCCTCCTTGGCAGGAGCCAACCCGCTCCTATTCCACATGATGACAACTATAGAATCATATTATGTTTAATTTAACTATTGTAGCCCTTCCCCGGGGTTATGGCGCTTGTTCTTATTTGTGGAAACAAACCCATCTAACCTAACCCAACCCAACCCAACCCAACCCAACCCAACCCAACCCAACCCAACCCAACCCAACCCAACCCAACCCAACCCAACCCAACCCAACACAACCCAACCCAACACAACCCAACCTATCATTAAACAGGTCACTAAACAATAACATGAATTATTGCCACCCCGAAACACAAGAGAAAAACACATTCTCTATATCCTTTCATGAAAATCGAACTGAATAGTGCATATTTAGGCAACAATTGCATTTACACAGTTAAATGTGCCCTTCATGTGGATATAGGTCTATGGAGGGGTCCACTAGACGAAGAGTTCAGGAAATAGTGTTAGAGAAATCTTTAAAATCCCGAATCTGTAGAATTCTAAAATTACTCACAACTTTTGGCAAAGAGGCTTCGGTACGGTCAAAAGTAAAATTTCACCAACATTTAAAGAAGAGGTAAGATTTGATAACTCTTTCATCTACATCAAATGTCATTGACCTACTCTTTATACAGAACGGAGAGAAGCCGTAGGGAGTACATCATACTTTTATAGAATCAATATACTGAATCAATGAACAATAATATTGATGCAGTTTATCTGCGGGTACTCCAATTTGTTAGAGGTTTGGAAAGAAAGAGAAGTGCGATAAAACACTACTAAGGAAACAGGAGTTCTAATCCGTAGGCCTACTTTATTTACTTAAATATATTTTTCCCCAAACAAGTAACCAGGATGAATTCCGGGAAGAAGAAAGACTCCTATTAAAATCCAAGTGTCAATGGCCTCTGCCTTACAGCTTTAATAATGGCGCATATCTGTATACAACCATTAAAAAAATGAATTTACAATGACATCGCAGACTACTGCTACACTATTACTGCTGTAAAAAATGACAGGGAGATAATAGGTAATAATAATAATGCGTATTTATAAAGCGCACGTATCCAGTATTATTGGTGCTCAAGGCGCTACATCATTACTTTACCCTGCTCATTGGGCCAATGAAACATTCAAATACCATCTCAGCTCCCTGGGGAGTATACAGCTCGACGCTGCCATTTCCGCGCAAAGCAGCTAAATCAACCACAATAACCATCTCTATACCCCCACAGGTACCCATTTACTCCTGGGTGGAGAGAAGCAATGAGTGACAAAGTGCCTTGCCCAAGGGCACACTGGACTCGAACCCACAACCTGCATAATTACCAGCAGATCGCAAAATGAATGTTCCAGACCACGAGTCCACGGCACTCCACAGATGAGGTTATACCTAGGTGGATGGAAGTAATTGACACTTTCGGAAAACTGCTTCAAAAATCAGAATTAATTCCCATAAGAATATGAAAGAAGAAAAAAAAGTGGTATTTAAAAGCAGACATTTGATGTGAATAAACGAGAATATAGACGTAATGCGCCCGTATCAGGCAGCTCTCATACGTCATTTTCGTATCAATTTCCCGTATCGCGTATGAGAACGCACGAAGTGATGACGTCACAAAATCGATACTGATACGTGATGAGGGCTAGTCATGGTGCAAGGCGTTCTAAGCGGGGGTAGTACCGCGCACTGCGCAGTTTCCATCACGAACCTGACTCGGTCGACAAACAAGGGCAGATCCAGAACACATTTTTTTTTTGGGGGGGGGGCAAAAATAAATGTGGTCCCCCAAGAAGTGGGTCCCACAAATTACGGCGTGGGGTTCGGAGCCCGTTTAAGGGCCCCGAGAATTTTGTTGATTCTGCTTCTTCTGCTTCTGCTCATATACTGTACACAACGCCCTGTTGGACTATCTCGGTACAGTGGTGGATTCTAGATGCTCTGTGGTGCGATCAAATCTATGTGAGGAAAAGATTCAGGATCATCGCTAAGGACGTCTTGGAACCAAGACTAGACACGGACACGACTTCTGAACCCGCCGAAGCTCCATAAAAGGACAAGTGCAAAACAGCGTTAAAAACTCGACAAATCCACGCATTTAAATAAGGGAAGAATAATAAACCGTAAACTTAACATCAAAATAGAATTGACGGGTTTGGCCAAAAACAACACTTATACGCCAAACTCTGGCTATTTGGGCATTTCCACAGTAGACCTTTGGATGTGGGTATCCATTGTGATAATGTGATTAACAAGAGTGGAAAATTAAGGTGTTACGATATGATTTAAAAAGTATTGAGCCATAATGAGGTGACCTTCAAGAAGGTTACGTGACAAGGATGTATTTCTTTTTATCACTGGCAGAAAAGCTATGAATTAGAATTGTTTTGGGAACCGTTTTGTTTTTACTAACCTTCAATAAAGTAACAAAGTTCCTGTCCACATTTTCTCAATATTTTGAAAATAAATTCCGCAGAATTTCTTAAAAGCTTAGAATCAGTAGGGAACTTGTTTTAAAGTAAACATCCTTGAGGACAGTCCCAACTCGTGTTTCATAATTTAGCTGCCATTTAATGTCAAGATGCCCATTTACATCAACCTACATGATTCCTGACAGGTTTGTGTACAGCTGCTGAAATGCAGACTTTATTAGAATGACCCAATTATCTTTAGTTGGTAGGTCTTTTTTTACAGCAAGAAGCCGACTGTCTATCGATATTTGTTTTTGTCTTCGTCGAAAAAGTCTTTACTGGTGCAGAAAAGGTGTCTACATTATTAAGTTGACTTAAACTTTAGATTCCATTTAATATGACTAGGAGTTTTTATATCATGTTGTAACAGACAATTGATAACATGGCACAAAGAAGAAGAGTACACCCACCTATAGAAGATTTCATGCGGCATTTCTCTGAATATTGATGGTCGTAATATGAAATCAGCCAGAAAAGAAAGACGTCCTGGTCCTGGAGGAAGCTTATTCGGATTTCCATGCCGGATGTTCATATACATGATGAAAACCATGCAAACAATTCCGAACAAAATTGACCACAATGTGAAATCCATGGTACAGACCAATAAGATGGATTAGCTTTCAATTCTCTGTTCACACGAGTCAAGGGACTAGGATAACCAAGTAAGCTCGGCGCAATCGTTTTTATCTGGAGAGTGCAAATCAGATAAATGATGCTCAACGGACTCCCGATCAGCCAGTGACCATGCATCTGACATCCCGGTCACCGTATGGCAGTACTTGCAATGCAGACCTAATTGGCCAATCAGAGGGCTCTTGTCAAACAGTGATTTTGTGTACAGATCAGTCAGCCTATCACGAGGAACTCAACTCAGTTGTTGGAAGCATTATGACATTTCATGTAAATGATTTTGTATATCAGACGAGTTTGTGGAAGTCACTACCAGGAACATCTTACCCCACATGAATATTTGACAGAATTTAAGTGAAAAACGAGGGCGTTTCATTTTCTTGTAATTAGGTGTAATTTGTTTGGTTCAAAAGTCCCTTTTTCAAGGAAACTTAAAGATAGCGTTTTTAAAAATTGCTCTGTTGTTTCCGGATGAAAAATGGTTGATATTACTAAAAAGAAATCCCTGTCATGCTTGTCATCAGTACTGAAAATTATTGGTTCATCGAAGCTCGAAATCGAAGATCGCTTTTTCCGAAATTCGACGCCGGGCGTAATGCCCAGTAGGCCTGTATTTAACCATTTCGAATCCATTATATCTAATGTGCAATGTGTAGCCTTCCTGTTCGATACCCAATAGGTCCCTCTTCGCTACCGATTCTCTCCTGTGACAAATACACCATATGCATGCAGTAACAACGTCAACAACGCCCTCAATGCAGGCCTTACAACGCCCTCACTGCTCGGTTGTCAAGGGATGTGTACGAAGTGCACGAATTTTTGTGAAAAGATGATCCGAGAGTGTAGACGGGATACTGGCTATTGCGGTCTCATTATAATAAGGTTGAAGACCAGTAAATCGGTCCGAAATTGCCTACGCCGGCCAAATCACGATTTGCATGCCCTCAAAATCTTCAGTATTTGAGCATGCAGTGGGCCATGAACTAGAGGGTTTGTAAAACATATGGGTGGAAGCCGTGCACAGGACTGTAAGCTTGTAGTTCCGTTCAATTTGGATGAAATTGGGGAACTAAAAGCGCTCTATTTTGCAAGGGAGTGTAGGCATCGTTTTTCAAAATGGCAATGGGCTTCCGGACTTTTTTAAGGGGTGACCATCTTCGGATGGAAATTTCTCCTAAAAGTCATAAGTTGACCCCCCCCCCCGTAAATTGAAAAGAAAATGAAAGATGATGATATCAGCTTTAATTTAATGTGCGTCTCGAACACCTTGGAGAGTTGTGAGTATTTTTCCCGAATTTCTGAAGTGGGAGCATTTATCATTGGGGTCAATGGAAGTTTATGTATTGGTCTGCAACCTGTAATTTGAAATTGGCGTCGTCCATCGTTCGTTGTCAAAATATTCCGCGACAGTGTTTTTTTTTTTTAGGGGGCGTGACCTGGGGGTGGGGGGGGGTGGGTAGCGTTTCAAATGGGTTTCCAATGGCGGTTCCGCAACAAATGCGCCCAAAATCTGCAGGGGACCGATAGACCGTCATCCGATTACAGAAATTTCGAGCGAAAATGGGGGGGGGGGATGATTTGGGGGTGGAAAGGAGCTGGAATTCAATTTACTCCCGTTGGGGGCGCTCTACAGCAAGGTAGCCGCAAACAGAGGTGTTGTTTTCAGGCCAGATATCGAACTGAGAGATTTTTTTTCTCCCAATTGTTTAAATGAAATATGAGTATACATCCTTCCTCGTGCCGTACAATTGGTGTTGGGCAATTTTTTCAAAACCTCGCTTCTTTGTAATTTCAAAATGGCGTCGTCCATCGTTCGTTGTCAAAATATTCCGCGACAATATTTTTTTTTAGGGGGGCGTAACCTGGGGTGGGGAGGGGGTGGGCAGCGTTTCAAAGGGGTTTCCAATGGCGGTTCCGCAACAAATGCGCCCAAAATCTGCAGGGGACCGATAGACCGTCATCCGATTACAGAAATTTCGAGCGAAAAAAGGGGGGGGGGGATGATTTGGGGGTGGAAAGGAGCTGGAATTCAATTTACTCCCGTTGGGGGCGCCCTACAGCAAGGAAGCCGCAAACAGAGGTGTTGTTTTCAGGCCAGATATCTAACTGAGAGATTTTTTTTTTTAAATATGAGTTATTCATCCTTCCTCATGTCGTACAAGTGGTGTTGGGGAATTTTTCAAAACCTCACTTCTTTAAATGTTGCAGACCAGTAAACCGGTCCGAAATTGCCTACGCCGGCCAAATCACGATTTGTATGCCCTCAAAATCTTTAGTATTTGAGCATTCTGGTGGCCATGAACTAGAGGGTTTGTAAAAAATATGGGTGGAAGCCGTGCACACAGTGGCGTAGCCACCGGGGGGCGTGGGGGGGGGGGGGGGCGACCGCCCCCATGAAACCTTGTCGCCCCCCAATCGCCCCCCCCCCACTGAGATTTTGAGTTTCTAAAAAAAATTATCATTGATCTACATGACGCCATGGGCGTCAATCCTGGGGGGGGGGGGGGGACAGGGGACATGTCCCCCCCCCCACTTTTTGAAGGGTGGGGGACACAATATCAAATGTTCCCCCCCCCCCAGATTTTTGAACTCGTGTCTCATTTACAGGGCCCTATTATGTACTACAATGTATCTTTTGCTTAGAAAATATTGATTAAAGTGGTCAGAAATTGCCTCAGATAGCACCACAGAGCATTTAGAATCCAACATTTTTCGGGGCCCTTAAGCGAGCCCTGAACCCCACGCCTAAAGCTCAGAATTCTGGTAGCTGATTCAATGACTCCAACCTCGAAAACAATGTTCAAAAATGTTTCTTATGCCTTTAGCTAAGAAAACCTCGAAAATTATGTTTAAATTATTATCTTTTGTGCTAAGATAATTATTGGTTAAAGTGGTAAGAAATTGCCTCAGATCACACCACAGAGCATCGAGAATCCAATTTTTTCGGGGCCCTAAAGCGGGCCCCGAACCCCACGCCTATAGCTTAGAATACCGATAGCTGATTCAATGACTCCAACCTCGAAAACGATGTTCAAATAATTATCTTTTGCTAAGAAAATATTAGTTAAAGCATGGTGGAAAGTGGTAAGAAATTGCTTCAGATCACACCACAGAACATCTAGAATCAATTTTTTTTTCGGGGCCCTTAAGCGGGCCCCGAACCCCACGCCGTAAGGGCTTCGCGCTCGCATCAGTTCTGATCAAGGTATGTCCGCCCCCCCCCCACTTTTGAGAAGCGATTGACGCCCCTGCATGGCGCCCCCCCCATGAAATGTTCCAGCCCCCCCCCCCCCCCAGCGCGCCCCCCCCCCCCCCCCCCCCCCCACTGAAAAATTCCTGGCTACGCCACTGCGTGCACAGGACTGTGAGCTTGTAGTTCTGTTCAATTTGGATGAAATTGGGGAACTAAAAGCGCTAATGGGAGCAGAACGCCTCTATCGCATATCGGTACAATATAGCGGGACAACTTCCAGTCGTCAGGCTTCGGCTTACCAGTGGGGTTTAAGAGACTGTTCCTGGCACTATAAACCTCTGGCTGGGGTGCAAGCCGTAAGTCTTCAGCACTAGCCGATCACTAACAACGGTTCACCCCTAGGTCTACATAAAGTCTCACTGCGACGGATACAAAGCTTGCAGCAAAATCTTTGCACGTGAGCGGCCAGAATGTGATGGTCGCATCTCTCTCACACTGGGCATTGGGCGGATGAGGTCTTTCTCTGGCGACCCTTTTCAGGGTAGCCCGGCTGCCTCAATCTGAGGACGGCCCTAGAAAAAAGTGGCTTTAGTAAAGGCATGACCTCATGACAAACTTTGTGGGAAAAAGTTACAGACAAAAATCATATGTGTTTTGGATCTTGGAATGTTCACACAATGCTTGATGGGTCTGACCAATGTAGCCGACGCACGGCGCTAATTGCAAAGGAATTTGAGAGAACTCCATTTAAGCCACACAATCTCCTGGTCTCTAAAAACTTGAGACCAGAGGAGAGGATCATCTGGTGTTACTTTGCTGCTAGATCGCAGATCGTATTTGCCTGATCAACCAATTAGCATCTTAGACGTTACTTGCCTCTGTCACACCATGGAGGAAGGAAAATATGTCCCCACATTGGATCATCTAGATTCTAAACTTCTACTCAGACCTGAGCAAAGCTGTTCGATCTGCCCCAAAGTCGGACAAATTACTCGTGCTGGGTTGGAGTAGAATATACGAGAACTGGTGGCTTTTTACCCACAACGTCCAGCACAAGCAGCACCCCCACTTGATGCAACTTGTTTACGTACAAGTGCACATCGTGGTTCTTTTGGTATCGAACACTGTTTTCGAACATCAACTTTTTCCGTGAGAATTATGTCTCTTTGTACCACGAAGCCATTAAAAATAACCAACAAAATTAACACAAAAATGCAGTACATGTGCTTCAAGGAAAAATATTTAAGGCCGACTTTATGATACTTAAAAAGGGTTGGGAATTTAACAGTCACGACGGGGACTGTCCAACACAGTCCGTATACGGTATAGGTACGAAATACCCCGGTATCAGCGAGCGTGGCCGCGGTGGATAAGTTACCACTAGGGCTACGATGTCAACCACAGCGACGGAGCCTGGACCGAATTACCTCCATAGTACGTGACCTCAGAAAAACTGCATAAACCACTTCGAGTTGAACTCGACAAACTTAAAACGGTGTCTGAACGCTCGGAAGTTTTATTTTTCGACCGGCCTCCCGTGGTGAGCGACAGTTTTAACTTAAATGTTTTAGCGTTTTAGCTAAAACGCTGTACAACTGAACATATTTAATAGCTAATAAAGTGAAAAGAGCCAAAAAAGTAATTAATATTCTGGAAGGTCACTGGGCTGGATTGCATTGCGGCAGAGGTGTACAAGACGTGGTGGGGATAAATTG